TGGGAGCTTGCAAATCGTGGCGCGTTCGCCTTTGTAACGAACCGGATAGACTGTGCGTGAGTTTAGTTGTGTATTCGCGCATGCGCATTAGTGACATATTGTCGTCGGCCTGAAAATAATTCGAGCAGAGGACGCATATCAGTGGTGACCCATTTGAGGGATTTGTACTGCCATTTCCCATGAAGACCTCGTGTGTGAGTAACTTGCCAAGAATCTATCAAATGGTAATATTTAAAAGCCTCTCGTAAGAACGATCTTTGGAAAAGTCAAAGAAGTGGAAAATGACAATTTTACGACAAAGGATAATTATGAAGAAAATATCATTTCTTACCTAATTGTTTTGCTTATTTTCACAATTTTGCCGGGTTTACCTTCTGCCATGAAGCAACTCTTAGTAAGGAACCACAAGTTATGAAGGGGAAGGTCGTGGTCAATTAAGGAGGAAACTGGGTTCATGAGAAGGTCGTAAAAATGAAATTAGAGCATTCATGATATTACTCACCATGCACAAGTAGAGACATGTCAGGGAAAACCCGGCAAAACTGAAAAGAATTCCCTCTAAAATGTTGGCATCACTTCCAACTTCTGACTCTGTTACTTTGGAGGTACGTAATAAAGACGGGCAAAAATGTGGCAGAAAATTGATTTTTGAAGTGTGTAAGTAAGCAAAAGGGACTTTGAGTGTTTAAATTGTAATTGGTATTGAAATAAAGGGCAAACAACTTTATATGAGCTTGATGTTGATCTATTGCTTTGGAGTCCACCTGTCAGATTCAAAAGCCATTTTTAATTCTGGCGCTGTAGTGGGATTCAGTGCGCATGCGCACCAATAAGTGAAGGGAATGAACATACGCGAATTATGGTTTAGATTATTAATATAATGTGCCTAAGTTACGCACTATGCATTTGGAAGGACTTCATAAGACGGCAGCGTGCTGACCAGAGCTATAGCTCTGCGGAGTCGCGACGTCCATTGAGATTTGAGTGATATCAAGACTGGCGTACAACCGCTTGAGGTTGGGGGCTTGATCTACCTCACCCTCAAGTGCGCTTGGTGTGATCGGTTAGTTACTCGTTTTTAGTTGAGGAGCTGCCAATTACTAAAGATCTCATCGAAAATTGGGGGATTGTTAACACAGTCCAGTTTATTTAAGACGTGTTGGAATATAGGGCTTGGGAACTCTTGTGAACCAGTTAATTGGGGAATTAGCGAAGCTCAGACTGGAGGGATTGCATGCCTTTGTTCCATGCTTGTTGGCGCAGGTACAGTTAATTGCAGCCCTGGTCCGAGAGCTTGCTTTCCTCGTTGAGGTTTACCGGGTCAAGTTGCCGTTAGAGTTCAGTGAGGACTACCATAATCACCTCCTTAATTAACTGACCCCTGTTATTTAATAACAGCTTGAAGTGGGTGAGGGTTACGTAAGCCACCTTGAACCCTGCAGCAGTTTGGCAACTGTGTTGCTTAAGGCAGTAGAGATTATTGTTGTATAAGTCTGTCCTGTTGTAGAAAGTCGCCTTTGCGTGCGTAATGAAAACTCATCAGTTATAAGCCTACGGTATATTATTTATATTTGAGGATTACCTGATCATTGAGTGTTACCTCGGTTATTGAGGGTTACCCTGGTTACTCTGAGGGATACCCTGGTCACTGTGACAGTTACTCTGAATTAGGTTGAGGATAACCATAGAGCTACAACCCTGCTCTATGGGATAACACACTTTCTAATTAATTACGTTTGTTGTGAAGTACACTACGTAGGACTACCTACCCGTGAGGATCAGTTTGTACACAAGTGTGTGTGAGTTTCTTTTTTGCATTCAATTGGGAACCCTGAACAATAGAGGACAATAAGGTCCCCGATTGACAGAGGGTGCCCGAATGACAACTGTGTACAAAACAAATGGGTGGTCTTTTAAGTACAAACAAAAGAGGAACAATAGGGGGTCCCCAGTTGCAGGCAAATACACACTTTTGTGGGTGTGTGTGTATTATATATGTAACATATAAACATTATAACATGAAAATCACTATATTCACCGTGAGATTTCGTCCGGTCCCTTGTCACTTGTATTGGCATTTATTGTAACCTTTATTGACATTGGAATCAATTACTTAATTATAGACCAGCGGTAAACTTCCACCAAACGAACAGCCCCTAAGGCGTAGTCCACTGTTCATTAACTGGTATCCCCCCAGGCGTCAGGGTAGCTGCTCATTCTTGCGTAGGGTTAAATAAATATGTTTGTGGGGTTAGGCCAGGTCCAGTCCATCTTGGATCAAGCCGGTTCCACCACAAAAGGTTTCAGTTTTCCTGCCACAATGCTGCTTGAAACATTTAGTACACCGGCTTTTCAGAATCTCACCCATTTACAAATGAGACGCAGGCCTATGGTGCTATCGCTATATATATCAAAGCAGCTAAAACCTGCGTACAAAATTTTACAGGTAGCCTACTTTTTGCACAGTACAATAAACATATCACAAAAAGGAGATTTTTTTTATTTGCCACAACATCTTTTCGGCCATTAGTCAAGCTTGCACGCTAGCCAGACATGTCACTTGTCCAGAAGCGAGTAATCACCATTATGCTTCTGAACAAAGTAAAAACGATTAAAGGGCCACCAAGTATTAGGACCACAACGCATAGTTCATCCGTATCTTTGGCAGTGTTGAGAGGCATTCATGAATAGAAAGAAGAGTTCCAATAAATACCAAAATGAAACCGTCTAAATAGACACACATTATAAAGATTAAAAGTCACTTACGGCGTTGCAAAAGCTGCAAACACTGTGCCGTTGGAGTGATAAATATCTCCTGTCGACAAAAAAATAATAAAATAATTCTGTTATCAACAATCATGCTATTAAATTTGGACACTCAAATCAAACTGCTGGGAAAACGTAACTTGGTGTGGTTATATAGTTGAGGGCAAACTTGCTATATTCCTTTGTTTCAGAAGACATATAAGACTCATATCATGGAAATTAAATTACAGTAATTGTTACAGAGGTGGATCATAGAACCATATTTTCCAGTGGTCTGGTTTTATAAAGGATATCTTTCCTAACGTAGGCTTCCTCGAATGTGAGGCTAATTTTGAGGCATTTTGCACATTTTAAGGAGGAGCAAAATTACCAAAAGCGTCATTATGATTTTTCAAACAGACAAAAATGAGTAAATGAGCAATCTACGAAAATCACAAACAAAACAAAGAAACTAAGGGCCCTATGTACTCCCTCGGGTCCGCAAAGGGCACTGCAATGTGATGTACGGAAACACTGGTTGTATGACGAGCAAACTTCGGGAGCACCTGGATAGCCATACTATTTAATGTTCTATTTTTGCGGAGGTGGCGTATGTTGTGTTTCTGTTGAACCTTCCCCTATTTGTAAAGGGAGATAAAGTCTAACTAACTGCTAGAACTGCATATCGAATGTGATAATTTGTAGGTTGTCATGATGGAACGGTCACGAGAGACTTACGTATTTCATTGTAGTGGTAAGGAAACGTTGTGCCTGTGGAGCATTCCAGCTGCATCTTGGCAAAGGTTACTATGTCTTTAGGTGTATAAGCCTCGAATTTTCGACCCCCTCGGTCATTCTGTTAAGAGAAAAGAGAATCATCTCACACTATATGAACTGCAAAAAACGAGAGCAAACAGGTGGACAGAATTAAGGGGAACGGTGTATCCGCCGATCCTACCTCGCATACGACTGCAACTCTTGAATGCACGGCTTTTCGTTCGACAAACTCAGCAGCAACCCCACGATAAAAGAAATAGATCCGTCCGTTGTAGCTGATTGGGTCGCCAACAAACTGTGGCTGTGGTTGATTTGCTGTTAATGAAGAATATCATAACTGATCTCAGAGTGGACAGAGATCCTGGGGGATCACACACCATTTGTAGTTATAATGTTAAAAAGCAAGCATAAAAAAATCAGCCTAATTAAAATTGAAAGCCTTTGAATTATTGACTTGAAATTTCCGAAGAAGTCAAAAGTCTGTGAAAAAATCCATCAGAAAAGCATATATTACAACTTTTGATACTTACATTTGCACTCATGCAATAAATACTCATTAGTCAACAATTTCAGGCAATTTTTGTTTAATGAAATGTGGAGCTGGCAAGGTTTATATTCCATTTCTTGATATTTTGAGGCTCATCTTGAAAAGTAAATGTACGTGAAGAAGACTCATTATTAAGTTACGATTAAAATCAACAAACTTCCATTAATTTAATAAGATTAACTAATTAACCCGACTCTGTTTTATGAGCTATTACTGAGAATACGCAGCAGTAATACTTACTACTGCGATTTATACTTAGAGGAAGTAAAATCATGTGTTAAATGTGTGTTATATGTGTTAAAGCAATTCATTATATTCGGCTGATTATAAATCAAACTTCTATTCAAATTTCAATTCAAATTTATCAAATCTGCATAAAATTCCAACTTAATTTGTTCTGCTATAATGACAGCTATCAATATTTAGCAAAAATACTTTAACAGTATTTCTGTGGCATGACGATAATGGGTCACTAAAGAGAGTTAATGAAGTGGATAGGGAAGATACATTGGATGTTCAATACATAATTAGTAATTATTCTGAAGTTTAGACCCATTTTATCTTAACTAGATTTGGATTCCTGTGGCAGTCTGGGTAAATAAGAATTATTATTATGACAAAGCATTGATGCAGAGTATATGTAACAATGTACTTAGTATCTTTCATTTAACATTATCCCCTAACATTACGCTACGCCTTGAATAAGACACATTTCTGCAGAAACTTTGCATTAGCATCCGTAAATTCATTTTGGTTATTACCTTTATCATATTAAACGAAATCATACTACTGAAAGAAACGCAGTTTTCAAACGTTAAGGTAAGATTTTTGTAGAAAATGTTTTAGTGATTTTGTTTGTGACACTTTGTACACAACCGTATCCTTAAAGTACGTAACATGCTGATAAGCTGCTGAAACCTTTAATATTGAAATCTTCACATCATCCACTTCATCATCAACTCTCTTTAGCAACCCACTATTGTCATGGTAAGCTTGCCACACGCAACCTTTTAATTTAATTTCAAGTTTCCATTTAACTAATTACTTTTGGATTTTTTACCCCCTCACTGAGCAATGTGCATTCAGTTTTTGCTGGCATAGATTGGGTGTACACAAAGGTCACATTGTGATGTTTGATCGAAATTACTCTTAAATTTATCAACACAAACACATTACATGTGGTCCTACTTTAGTTGCCAGGATGTTATTTTGCTTGGGCTACGAAATCCCAAACATTTCAGAAGTCATTCATTCAACCTTACCAGAATGATGGGCTGGACGTAGTTGAGTTACTATTGTTTGTTCGTGTGGCTGACATTTAAAAAATACGTATACTGTTGACAACCTTTGTAACTATCAGGCCAAGAAAGCATGGTGAGAAGAGTCGTCAGGTTGTGAAAAGCTAACTTTGTCCTGCGTCTGTAATAATCTTAAAAGCCTGACACATCACAGAAACGTCTTAGATGTAGACTCAAAACACGCAGAATGGGACGCCGTTTTCACTTTGTGCTCAAAATAAGTAATAGTTTGTTACCAGTACCATAAGTACGGCAGTTTAACACATGTGCACACGTGAGAAAAGAAGTTTAATTCTGTGTTGGAGTATTCGTAATCTAACTCGAATACAACTCGAGTACCAACAAGTATTCGGCTCGTACTCGATTGTAAGTACTCTAAACCAACAAGTACTCGGCACGTACGTGTAATTTTGTACCCGAACTCGTCCCTAAACTCGAAACATTTCACTCGGTTAACTCGATACTAATTTTGATACTAATTTTTCGATACTGAACCTTGAAAAAAGTGTAAGGTACACGTTACAAGTCACGCAGTATTTTTATGGACTCTAAATCGAGTGTTCGTGAATAAGTGTGGGCACTTGGCATCGCTCACAGTATCGCTGGTTTTTTTTTTAATTAAAGGTGCAAATTTCCATAATGGTTTAGTCTTACGGTGTACTTGTAAGTACTCGATTATCTTTACTCGGACTTGGCCCATGCTCAACACTGTGTATACTCGGAAAACTCGGCACTTGAATTTTGGTACTCAACTACATCACTGGTTCCCTTTGCACTTCTTGAAAGTATAGTGAGCTCCCTGAAAATATTTCAAGACGTGAGAAGTTGTAAATTTTCACGACATGTACATGCCTCATTGACTTTTTCTGATTTCATTGATTTGAACACACTTTGACCCATAATGATAATTTTGGCCAAATTTACAACTCGTAAAAACTCAGACATATTTACGAACAAAAGCGTGATACCAGCCTAGGCAAATAGTTAAGCTCTACAGCTCTCTCTTCACGAAAATTTGACCTAATTTTAGACTTTTTGCTCTCTTAACTTCCATTGACGTTGGTTATTTGTTGAGACCAGTGAGTAAAGCTTTCTGACATATATTTTTGAATAAGCAAATTCTGGGTTCAAAGTTTAGAAAAAACATAATGACGTCACAGCAACAGCGGACCAAGGGAAAGGCATGGAAAATGTGTGCAATTTGGGCCAAAAAGAAATGTCAGATAGTTACACATTCAAGAGGTGTACAGGAGGTTAACGAAACATGTTCCCAAGTATATATATTTTCCGATTTTCTTCGCATTTTTAATTGTTTTAATTTTATTATATGTTTAAGGCTGATGCCTAAACCTACCATCTAATACGTTAGTGTCGTCCTTAGTGGCTAGTGAAACATTTATGCCAACCACATTGAGAGATGAGTCCAGTTGCAACACTGACTTGGAGATAGCTGGTCGTGCTGGATTACCGGCTGATAGCGTCAAATAGGTTCCAACATATATTTCATTACCTGTGAGAATGCATCAAGACCATAATTACGCACTTTAACCTGACCAGACTTTCGCCTGTTTGTGCATATCAACGAACAGGCTTTACTGGAGGATGAGAAGAAGGTTCAGCCTCCAAAGTTCCCAAAGGGAGGGAGGTAGGTTCGATTCTATAAAATGCAGGTGTTGATTTTAGACGAAATAATTACGTTTATGTTGACGTGCACAATACTGAATTTGGGCCTCTTTCTGCAGGCAATTCACAAAAACGATTTAAAATTTCGCAATGGCTCCAATCCCTCTCCCCTTCTTATGACTCCCCCCCTCACTTTCTCTTTTTTTAATAAAAAATGGTTCTGTGACCCATCCTGTAGGATGTCTGCTGTATATGGCTGTTGTGTAACCTACTTTAAAGGCGGAATTTCAGGATGAATGTTTGAATTTTTGATGCGTGAAAAGCTATCCATGCTAGGCCAGGCCGGCTAAAGTCATGAGCGGTTGTCTTACCGTCAGTAAGAAGCCAACCTGTAGAATTCAGAGTAGGGGCAAGAGGCACAATTGTCTCTGAGGTACCGAGTGAAACCAGAGACCCAATTTCTGAAAGCTGTACGGAAACAAAGTTCGTCTTTTGAAGTAAATGGATAAATTTTCGTTGGGTAGATTGCTAAGGAACACTTACACTCAAACTGATATTATTCACTTTACAAATTGAGATTAACTATCGAACGCAATTTAAATTTAATTAAATTCTCAAAATTGCTAAACAATCCTCATAAAATGATTGAATAAATAGTGGCGTTCATCTTCCTATGAGTTGGGCTTATCCTATTGCTCATACATGCGGCCCGCCTAGGATGAAAACACGTAAGGTTGACGCGTGGTTGACCTGCAAAGTTACAGACCTAAAGACGAGAGAGTTCGATTCTACTTGGCAATTGCCTGTATTGCTTGTTGATTGTATTTGTATGGAAGTAGCTACCGGAGGGGGTGCAGGGGATGCGGCACCCCCCATAATCAATTTCAGTCCCCCCCAATCAATTTCAGTCGGCAAATAAAATCCAAAATTAGTACATATACACCATATAGTACACGATATACATTGGCCGTCAGCATTTTCCCTAAGCCACAGCGTACTACCACGGATCACTTTGTGAATTTTACACGACACGAGATTGGCGACCAAGTTACAAGTCGACAAATTGACTCTGGCACACCCCCTCCTCAAAGATAATGCCTCTGCTACGCCCCTGTATTAGTATGGTGAGGGAAACATACCACGCTTTCAGACCATAAAGAGTGATTACAACTCCCTTAGTATTAAAGCCCATTCTATGCACGATCTGCGAATCGCTCCATAAATACATCATAACACCATTTCACTCTTCCAGTGCGTGCGGACGTACTCCAAAACACCAAAAGAACTCGGTAGTTAGCTGAATACAGACAGTGATCTGACGAGTAACGGGGTTGACAGTACACATTTGCACATTTTCAACGTCTAGACACTATCCTTCATCATGTTAAAAATGTTAAGTGTGTTTCCAATGAAAGCAAAAAAAAGGTTTTGAACTGTGCGTTCTCATTGAACATATTTTCGTACGCCAGATAATCACCCACAAATAGGCAATCAGGCCACCTTTGGCCCGATGCCCCAAAATTAAAAACTTGTTCCAATGGTCAATTTTACTTCTCTGGGAAAATAAGTCGTAACTCTGATAAACAATATCCGATTTGACGTTTGACATCTCAAAAGTGATCAGGCTTATCTTTCTGATTGTATCTATATTATCTATGTTGGTAGCATATTCTAGGTCTTGCATGCCGTTATCGTTTATTTCCATTGTTGGGACATACTTTAAAGTCCTCGATTAATGTTCATTCAGTCATACTCGTTTTGCCGACAATGTTGTTGTTAAGGTGTATTTCTTGCAGGCTCAACTAAAAAGGGAAGGTAAATCAGTCTTTATAATCGGCGGTATATCTCCTCCAAAATGGACCTGCTCTTTTGCCTTGAGGTCCTTTGGGTAAAAGCTTGTATTTGGGAATATTATTGCTCTCTATTGCATCCTCAGAGTCGTCCAACTTTTTGGAGATCCCTACTGCAACGTTCTTTTTGTGTCATAGAACATTCCCAGTTATCGTTCCCTCAACTAACCTGTGTTTTGTACCGCTGCTGCTCTTTTACGTAAAGTTGGCCCTATATTTCTACTGATCGATTCTCGATACTCAATTAAATGCACTGATGTTTGGTGCAATTGATTTAGTTTGTTTGCAGCTCTAGCACAAAATGTTACCAAAGGACTAGTTCAATATCTGACTTACATCTTGACTCCTTTGTTGGCAATAGGGATTTCCATTATTTGTACCACACTCCAGCAAAGTATTGTTCAATGTAGGAAGTGGTTGAATCACGCGGATGTAGTTACTACACTGTTAAATGAACAAGAACGGATTTGCCAAAACAAATTGAGACATTAGTGTTAATTTCCTGATTCGACTGGTCAATAACTGGTCCATGTAATAGAATTGATGATACATCTTCAGGACAAACGACTAATTGTCTTAAAATAAGGCAATGGTTTATCTATGAGCGTCGCCGGGAAAGAGGGCAAATCTATTGTAAAGCCTTAAGCTAAGGAAACAAAGAACTCAACAGCAGCAACATGACACCCATGAACAGTGGAAAGGTTTGATTCGGAGTAATTTCGAGCAAATTAGTGATTTCCATCCTCCTCGTCTCCTTCTTTTCAGTTTCTTTCTTCTCCCCTCCACACTATCATCCGCCTTACTCACTATACCCTAGTTTTTTTCCATTTTTCCAAGGGGCAAGCCTTCTTTCCCCACGATGCTTCTTTTCTATGTGAGGGTCTAATATGGAAAAGAAAAACGCCTCCGCGTTCTATTATTATGCATTTTTAGAGTAAATTAACTGTTTAAAAACCGTTTTTCAGCAAACATATCCACCAGCATTCGATACTGAGCTTAGGTATCAAAAGTAGCGCAACTGAAAGATTATTTCCATACATCACTTGCGCCGTTGCACGATCCTGTGTCTGCAGCGCTATCAATCTGCAAAGAAAAAAATACACTACCTTGTAAGTTAAAGTTGCCGTGCTCAGCATACATGTAACATCGTATCAACATGATCGGCATAATGAGAATCATTGGGGCCGATAACTAGAAGATCAATGACTTGACCTCTTAAGAAATTGTACACCCTAGTACATATCAATTCCAGGATTTGTCCAAATCACGTGCGTGTTGTAGGGTTTTCTTCTGATTTTTCTTCATGTTATGTAAAAAGTAAACATAATCTGAAAATGAAAACGACTTTAACCTGATTTCTAAATAGAATGTAATCACAAAATGGTAAAATTGATATCGACATTCTAATAATTGATACATTTCTTAGGTTTGAAATGTTTTACCAATGAAAGATCGGCGGGATTTAGAGAAAACAATTGGTCTTTTCCTCCCACGAATAGTCGGCCGTTGAATAACGTCAGGGTCCGGTAATATTTGCCTTCGCTAATTGAAGCATTGGGTCCAGGCGTCATGAATAAGCGGGATAAATCTGCATGGATTATAAACATGATGTCACCGGATAAATTTACTGCAGATTAGTGTGCTGTTCTATGTTGAACTTCGAACTTTATGACGTATTTGAGCAAATTCTGACTGATAACTCATTTTGAAGACACCTTAATTGTTTGCATCAATATCTGTTAGACATTACGTTATAGACTTGATTTTTAATTTTGAAACAAAGTATTTTCATATTTTCAGGATAGTTACCGGTACCTCTCGCATCTAATAAGATCCAAATATTTGGAGGATATGGACGGCATAATCTTGTCTGTTTGACAAATGCTACGTTGAATGAATTTTAAGCTCTAAAATGCGAGTCGATTCAAGTATTTTGCTCGGGTCAATTCGATTCATATTTTAACATCATATATGTACTATTACAGCATTTTGAAATTTATCTCTGCTTTACTACATAGGGTAACACCACATCCGACTAGACTCGACGATAAGAACGCGTAGCATAAACATTACAAACTGGCACTGTAAGTTATTGCAAGTATTTTTTTAAAAGACGTTCGCCTTTATTTTTGGGACTCGACTCTTATAAACTTTAAGTCAAATTGTATGTTCTGATGAAATTGTCGGCTCAAGTCGAATCAGAGTCAATTCATTCACGCCATTGTTGGGGCATATTTTGCTATTGTTTTCAACGCTCTGACTTAAAATGAACAAAGTACACGAGAGGCTAGTTCATCTCGCTTTTTAAAGCCAGAAGCCCATTGCTTCTTTTAAGAGCCTTTTTTGCAAAGGTGAAAAGTAACATCAGCAAACATACCAGTAAAGTATCTGCTGTGCGGGTAGGGTGGTTGAACTTGGCGCACAACTCGTTCATTCTGTGAGTGGCAAGCGGGCAGCGTGACGAGAAGTACGCTGAGTACCAGCCAGCATGCGCAGTGTCCAAGGGACGTAGGCATGATACCAGGAAATGACGCTACTGCCGAAAGGAAACATACAAAATCACTTTACAATTAAAACGTGCAACTCACCCATGGTGTAAATTTGTACTGGGAATTGGGGTCGAGGATAGGAAGAGGCGGGGAATGACTCGACTGGCCGTAGAAAATTGAAAAGTGGTTTGAGGGATCGGATACCAAACGAAAAAGGTCGATGGTCACGATGTTGATGTACATTTGTAATGCATATTACGGTACATTCAAGCAGAATCTTACACTAAAATGGCATAAAAGTGGATTTTTATTGGTAGCCCATCTCCCTATCTCAGACAGTGGGGGGTTGGGTATATTTTATCTTCCTCGGGATTTACACCCATGTGCTGATATGCCTCTCTTACACAGTAAAGTGCAAGCCAGTGACTATATCTTTTGAGGGAAACGCATGAGAAATGTAAAGCTTCCTCGTAGAGCTACTCTGCTGAAGAGCAAGATGAGATATATTCAATAACATTGGTGCTGAACTAGCCTTTGAAGAAAGTGTAGTACCATTCCAATTATAAACTCAATAAATTGTGATATATTCTTTAAAAGTCGTTCTCTTTAGATGATGGAGCATTTGGGCGACCTACCATTTTTAGATATCAAAACATCTGCGTCTTATGCATAAGTTTATTATTGTCCACTTAAAAATATTTACAGACAACCAATTTCTCGTAGATGGGAGAACCAGTTTTCATGAACATTTCAAATGAAATAGTTTTCGAACTTTATCTTCCTTTTAGCTTGAAAAACGTCTCGTAATCGTTTAAAGAGTGAGAGAAAAAACAAACATGCAACATTCTTCCAACCATGCCCATTATTCACGGGTCTTTGCGTTAATTATAAACATGCAACCTTTGAAAATGAGACATCGTTTTGGAAATAAACAGGTTTAGGTTTGGGTTGGGTTGTCTTGGGTTGGGTTGGCTGGTTGGGTCGGTCTTACTCACAATACCAGGATAAATGGCCTATTTGTGGGTCATAGGTTAGTGGTTATGTTATACAAGGATCGAATTTAGCTGGATGTTAGCGTATTGCATTTGCACAGCTTGATGCTGGTTTTACTTGGTCTTTTTCTCTCTTTTTTTCCTTTTGGACGTAAGCATGGAATCAAACTGGAAGGGATTTGGAAAATCCTTACTTGTCTCATCTTGTCAGCGACGTGCTACCTACACTTCTAATTTCGGCCAAGGCAGACTCTACGACAGCTAAGTAAAAGGCAGTGTGGAATCGGTAGGAAGCTGGCGCAGATGCACAACCTATCATCTTTGTCTGAACCTATCTCACTTGTCCATAGGCTCATCGGGTACTAAAACAGCAGCGGACGTCTTGCAGCTACAGTCAAATGGGCAAGTGATCTGGCTGGACTACCCTCACCTACCGATTACCGGGTACCCGTTATTTAAAACTGCTCTTCGAGGCTATCCGCGTAACCACACTTCACCTACTGTTAGGAAAAGCCCATCATGGCAGACAACCTTGCAGGAGCTTGTCAAGCATTACGGCCACGTCTCCGCAACTCTAGCTGACCTGTGTATATTATTTATTTGCATTATCATTTTTTCTGGTTTCCTCAGATTCGACGACATTAGCTCAATCTTCAACGTGTAGGGATTGTACCTTTAAACACGACAGCCTCATAATCCATTTATCCAAATCCAAAACTGATCAAATCAGGCAAGGCTCCCATTAGGTAACTATTGCCGAAACTTGCAACCTGTCCAGTGGCAATCGCCCAGCGATACATAAACACACTTGGTCATCCTGTAGACTGCAATTCACCTCTCAACCGGCGATTAACCTGCTCAAAAAGGGGAATCGTTTCAACCAAGCATCCATTAAGCTACACCAGAACACAGGAAATAGTCCTTCAAGCCTTGTGTCCGTTTGTACCTGATATTTCCCACGATGGTCTTCACAGCCTCAGTGAGGGCGGGGAATAGGCGGCAAGTAATGCCCATATTTCCCCAAAATTATTTTCCCAACATGGGAGATGGAAGTCGAAAAGATCCCGAAATATCTATATGCAACCATCCCATCAAAGTTATATTATTCCCATAAAATCCCTCGGCTTATAAAATCAATTGGTGTTTTAAACATAACTTATCTTTAAATCGAATATTGCTTTCAGAGTTTTCAAAAGGGAATGATTCGATTCCCAGAAGTGTTTTGGAGGCATAGAGCGTTAAGTTATTCTAATTGATTAATTGATTAATTCTACCCTAATACTGTACGGACATTCTCGTAATTAATTAATTAAACTAAATTAAAGTTTCCGCACTTGACCAATCCAACAAATCTTCCGTTAAGTTGTTTTTATTTTGTTTGCTGAGGTACATATAGAAAAAAGATTAAATTTCTATCGTAGGAAGAAAGTGCAATTTCCTATGTCTTCTTACAAACAAAATGTATGAAACTATATTTTGACACCCCTTTTGGTTATAATCTTACATGAAATACAAGCTGTAAAACTGACTTGAAAAAAATCTAAAATGAGTAGTGAGGGTAAAGATTCGAACTTAAATCCTACGTCTGGGCTTATGATCACTTTAGTAACCGCACAAACATTTCCCACACGGAAGTATAACAGGCGAATATTCAAACAATGCTGCACCTGCCTGACTAGACCGGCTTATTTCTCACGACAACGACATTAGTGAAGCATCCAGGCGCAACACAGCTAAAGTGAATATTTGGCGTTCAGGCACATTTGCATGAATGCACAATTAGGAGCATTTTTCTATTTACTATGTGGGAGGGAAACCACAGCCATGAAATAACGTCGAAATATGTCACTGTGCATGACTGTTACCTGTACTGCTTGTATCATTGCTTGGTCTCTGTCGGAAGGTATGATTGTGGCCGCCGGTTTTGGTCTGCTTCGCATTCGCATCTGTTTGTCGTGTTTCACTTCTGCACGACTTCATTCACTCTCCGCAACTATGACGGAGCGTATTACCGCCACGCACAAAATTTTCTTTCACGTACATATACGTACTTGAACACTTTCCACGTACGTACATGATAGATTTAGTTCTTATTGTCATTTATGGCTCTGGTCCGGCTCCTATGTGAAGTGTTCATGCGGGTCTCGTGCAAGTATTTTGCAGGCCCTACTCTGCCCAAGCCACGGGAGTGGAAGCCACCATATTAACTTTTCCTCAGATATCTTTCAAAAAACAATTTCTGTACTAATTAATCCTTCAGAAGTTTTCCAAAATGTCTAAAAATCATGTTTACACCAGTTTTATGAAAATCAGACGTATCTGACCACGAAATGCCATGGTCAACTAAAATATGTGAAAGCTTCTTTCCATTTACATGCTCAATACACACGAGCTAACACGTGTGGGTTCATCATCTAAAAATGAATATACCAGCAAAACCCTTTTATTATATTAAATGCTTTAAACCTTCAAAGACCCTGGCAATAGTCTGGATAGGAACGACATGGTAAGGATCAAGACACTGCGCAAAGAATTCTCATTGTCATTCGAAAGGTTTGAACTTTCAAGATCTATTTCTGTTTAGATATCTACAAGGGAATGCCACAGGAAGTTAAAAACAGAATCACTTCATGGAGCCAAGGTATTTCTAAGTAAATGCCGATTTGGTTTATTGTCAAGTTTGATAGATAAACATCTCTCGCATATCATAATAAGGTAAAGACAACTATCTAACACTCATTTTGTCTGCTTGAAAAAAAGGAAACAGCACCTCCAATCGACTGAGCAGGGAACCTCAACCATTGACCTTGTCATCGGCAGTTACAATGGTGATAACGTCTCATGTTTTGTGGATCTGAACATAAAAGGATTTAGACACGCTTGTGCGTGTACTTACCAAATAAAATAAGAGTAAGCAAGCCTCCAAACTGAAGTCGTAATTCCAAAAAAGTAAGTCTAGTTGCAGATTTGATCCTGAATCCAAGCACTGTCGGGGCAACTACGTAAACATTTATCACACGGAAGTGTTATGGGCGAATATTGCTACAAGCTACACCTGCTCGACACTGCCTCCAAAGGCTTATTTCTCACCACGACGACTGTTGTGAAGCATCCATGCGTGCGACAACAGCGGTTGAACATTTAGTTCCTAAAAATAAGTCCATCACAGTTTCCTTTTTCGAACCCGTGAGGGGAGGAGAGGGAATATCATTGTGATGATGCCGCCAATAAGTCACTGCGCATGACTATAATTATATTTGAAGGTAACCCGAATGCTGACTGCACTTCAGACTAATTTCTCAGTTGAGGAGTCAATACATTGGAAGCTCCGTTTGAAATCCCCCATCCCCAAGTTCCGGAGAAGCAGGATGTATTTTTACCTGCCAACCATCATCACCATTGGATTATTCCAACAGATGCACAGAAGGCCTACAAAGTATTCGGGGGTTGACAAAAATTTTAGGACTGCACTAAAGAACAGATCGCATTGGTTTAAACATGCACACAACAAACACAAATGCATGTATACGCGTCTATCAAAACACAAAACGTCAATTTTGAACGACTTTCTGGTAAAACCGAAAACCAATCAAGCACTGATCTTTTTGCAAACTTTGGCCGCCCATACAAGTTGTAGGCAAAATGAGAGTGGTCTATTACACGGTAGTGGCCTTGTTATTTTGCACTATGGCTCGTTCAGAGTTTTCCGCCGCAAATAATTCCGAGACCTCGATATTGCATCACTGAAACGTTCCAACTGAAGCATTTTAATGATTGGTTGGGTAAATACCATTGACAGTCGATCGACACCTGAGAGGTTGAACACGGTCGTCAACAGCTAGTCAAAAGATAAGAAGGAACACATACATTCATCACTTTATTGTCAGGGTCTCCAGAGTATGTGTTTCAATCCATTGCTTTAACATGACTATTCTATTTTACTCATTCATTCAGTTGCCCTGTTGACAATTTGCTTGATCCTCTTACAGAATAACAGTCACGTGAACATGTATTATAATGAGTTTGCCAACTCTACGACCTTTTCTTGCTAGCTTTGGAACGCTAAAAACATTCACCACAGAAGAATCTGTGATGATTCGGTCGCACAAATCTTCGGAGTCAGTCGTATTTAACTTTGTATATCCAACTTATACACAACCAGTTTTATGTCAAATTACTTAACTAGGAAATGATTTACCCTTTGATTGGAGTTCTGTTCTATTTCTTCTGAATGATAGCACAAAATATTTACTCTTTTTTTCCTGAGAAATATCTCTATGTATGGCAATGCATCCAAAGAAACAATGTTCGTTTAATGTGGAATTATGACGATTATATGAAAGCAACGCGGAAAACGTGACAGCGTAGAACAAACAAGAAACACTGTTGATTGTGCGATTGTAGTCCATTTCATATAAAGGAAATTATGTTCAGGAAAAAAATAAATTATAATTTTACAAAAGCATTTGCTTGCAGAATTAGACAGGTGCAAACTCCAGATAAAATGTGCTTGATGCATGGAAATAGTGCTAAATAAATTTTAGATCCTTATCCTGATTTCATACAAATACTTTAAAAGAAAATGAAAAAAAAGGCCTTTCAACGGTACAAGAACTGCATTCTCCAAGTCTCAATTATTCAAAGATTCATGTGCATCTTTCGTTTTCTCATTTCTAAAGAAAGATTTAATATTTCAAAGGTACTGAACACACACACAAAACAGACTGCTCAATGTGTCATTATTTTGGCCCTGATCCGTTCTTCCTTACTTCTGTCAAGAACCAGAACATGGGGGTCTTCCAAATCTATCTGGGTGGGCAAAGCGAAGAGAAAAAAATCCTTCAACACACGCCCATTCTGATTGGGCTCAATGGGTTCATACTCGATGAAATACGGTTCGTTCGATGATATGAAGCCCTGATTGGCAATTGATGGACAAATTTGGCCCAACAGCTATGGTCGCAAGTTCATACACACTTGGACTGAAGGTGTTTGATTACAACTGTAAAAGACTGTGCCCATTCTCATCGAGCTTCCAATTGTTCTTTTTTTTCTGTACCTCATCAGCCGAAACATTCGTTTATTATTTTTGCACAAATCTGTAAATGAAGTCTTAAAGTGCAACAGACGTTCTGGTTGAATTGCTGATAATTTTGTACTAGATTAGCTTAAGATTAGCTTACTGTCCAAGCACCGACCACAACTGTACTTTTTCAACGGACAGTGCTTTACATTATCAGGGCGAGAACTCCAATTCATAAATACCACAGTCTCCATATTCAACAACGTGTATTAATTAACATTTGATAATGCCCGCAGAGATGTGATAATGCCTACTGCATAAATCACTATTTTTATTGATTCTGATTGGTCAAGAGTCTGTGTGCACACAACTTCCCTTGCGCGCGCTAAGTCTGTTTATAGGGAGATTCTATTCGACAACTTGCAAAAGGACTATACGATAGAATAGACGGGGTATTTGGGAAACTGACATTAAAATTTCAGAACAAAATCATTGGAAATCTATTATTAATTGATTTCCTTTGACTCTCTGATTAAAAAGGTATTTATGAATGGGACTTAATACAGTACGCGCTTGGCCGGTCTTAAACTAATGCCTGCGGCTCATACATTAGTCACACACATCCATTCTCCTTAGCCGGTCCTGACAAGCACGTGTAAGACAGACCATGCACATATTTATTCCTTTATTCATTCCCAGAGCCCTTGCCACAAGATATTAGACAGATTTGCAAGTCTGCAGACATGTTCCCTTTTCGGCATTTCTGAAGCAAAATATTACTACTTACACATGTGTTGCAGGACACATCCAATCAACAAGAACTGGTGTTCACTACCTTTGGCACCCTACTCCTACACTAGGGAAACAAAGTCCACTTTCTCAAACTAACATTTTGACCTCAAGGAACCATTAGGCAATCCTGATAGGCCTAGTTTAGGTACATTTTGACAATACATTCTACTCAGTTCAGCCAGAAAACCACAAATTTCGAACCTGAGTTTGGCAAGACAACCGCTCAGTCAAGATTTGTTGCCTATTCAGCCTACAAGAAACAGGGTGCTAAAGGTCATGAACACCCAAGAACTATCCCTTACCAAGTGGATGATCTATAATCATACCTTTAACCTGCATAATTGTATCAATATATGCAACTTTCCACAGTACACTGACCTGTGTGGCTATTTATAACCAACGAGATGACCAACCTTGTAAGGCTAGTCAGCTATAAAAACCAGCCCTCTCTCAGTCAGCAGGAGAGCCATCAGAGCCAATCAACCGTGGTTAGCAGCAAGTCTTGATCAAACTTGCTCGGGTTATGTTTATGTACACTTGTCTTGCAAAGACATCAACCAGTCTGAGCATACACAGCTGACTGATGGCAGGGTGACACACCCGATGACATGCCAACTGACCCACATCTCTGATATATATACAGCTGAGCAGTCCAGCACTCCTGTCTAAACACCTGCCCCAGCCCACTTCCTCCCCGTCGCCACACCCCACCGACGGACTCAGCTAGCATCCTGGAATAAAACCTGAAGCCAGTGGGAAATGGCCCGGTCAATTTTAACGAGGAGGAGGTACAAGAGGATCAGGATCACCATGACAACCAGGAAGGACACGCCCTGGAAGACAAACCGAGGAGCGAAGATCTTCCAGACCATGAGATGGCGACGGTGAATGGCAGCAGATACCATGGCTCCAACCAACTGCCAAAGAAGGATACAAAATAGAGAGTGTTGATTTCTTGTTTACCTGCAGCAATAGAGAAATTGTTGCATCGTGTACAGTCAAACCTTGTTTATAAGAGTACTGTTAAGACAAGGTTCCACTATAACGTGGAGCTTTTAGATTCTAATCCCTTTTTTTTTCATTATTTACATTCCTGATAGTACAAGGTTCCTATTATGACAAGGTAGTCCAATGGATCTCATGTTAATGAGGGCTGACACAATTCGAAAAACTCACTATTCGAATATTTGACCCTCAATTCTATCGAATATACGAATATTCGGTCGTTCCAACGGGCAGATTGTTGATGAACAAACCATATACAAAGTCAGCTGCAATGACACACAGTGTAAATTATAATCACTATAATAGCTTCTCAAGTCTAGGAGTATCTCCAGCCACGATTTACGGCACGAACAATACTTCTTGCCCTGTTTAAAATTTCTATTTCTTTTTAGATTTTTCAATGAATAACTTACCATTTGAATCACTGTAAGATTTCTGTCGCGTTTCATTTGAATCTGCTTACACAAGCCTCTATAGTGTGACCGGTATTTGTCTCATTTAAAACAAAATAAAGTTCTCCCTTCCTTTTTATGAATTTGCATTTGAATATTTAAATTTGGAAAATATTATTTGAATATTCAATAATCGATAAAATATAAGGAAATTCGGCGCAGCCCTACAGATTTTTCACCCTTGAAATGTTATTAAACTGGATTACGTCATACAAAGCAATGTTTTTTTAAGAGACCCTCTGTGTGACATAACTGCACTTACGTCTGGAATTTTGAGTTCTTGTGGCTTTTCTAGGAAACTGATAAAAAAAGTGATTATATTTACAAAAGCTGGTGCCCAAACTCATAAAAACGTTGTTAATTTTCAAAATGCACCTTTTCTGAAACAAAAATAGGAAATCGTAAAAACATGAACATAATGATCTACATACCTGAATACCATTGTATAATAGATAAGCAAGGATGATTTGAAAAAATGCAACGCGTAGCTCTCGGTTACTGACGTGCAGACCCAATTCGCCTTTCCGGTCTTCATCTTTCTTACGATCAAACATCTTCCCTCGGGTGAAGGGCCAGATCAGCAGAAGAGGCAATGCCACGGCAAAGACGATCTGAGACGCGAATGTGTTGATGGTGATTAGGGCACCGGGGATGAAGTACAGATATGAAGGGAAGTCACCATGGAAACCAATGAATGCCGAATCGAATCGAATTGATGAGATGGTGGCGTGATGGCCCGTGGCGAAGAAAAACTGACTGGACATGAAGCCCCAGGCAGCAATAGCATACCAAGGAACCTGGTAAGTAGCTGAAAGGAAAGCCAAAATACCACTGATGAGGCATCCCTCCATGGATAGCAACCCCCTGAGATGAAAACGGAGTGCTTATGCTATCATGTGAGGTAAGTTCTAACGGACTTCATCTCGAGACTTATCAAATCAAAAGACAGGAAACTGATTGAGTGGAGAGAACATGCATATAGCTTTTAAGAAGCTGAAAGAGCTGGGAAATCTGCAATGTACAGTACACATGTATGTACAAAATTTGAGGCTAACCTTACTAGAATCAAATAACGTTAATTTGTCATCAACTGCAAACTTGAAGTATTTAAATACATATAAGTCAAAATCAAGCTATCACTATGGATCATGACAGCTGATGGTTAAAGGGACTTACCAATGTGGTGGAGGTCTGGTAAAGCTTCCAATGGAGCCAGTTGCTGCCTTCGAATGACGGCGTACAGCTCCAGATAAACCACCATTTGTAGAAGCATTGTTAGCACAACAGGTGCCAGGCCATCACCAAGAAGCAGAGCTACAAGAAGAGCAACAGTAGCGCTTACCAGCAGCCAACAAGCTGAGAATACCGTGGCGAGACCGTACACCACAGGTGGGGAGGCTTCCCTGTGCTCATCTTGGTCTTCATCGGAGGGTTGCTTGCCTTGCCGGCTGCTTCGCTTCCATGTCGTCTTCAGGTGGTTGAAGATCTTGGGCACAACAGATTCCACCTCTCCAGGGTACTCCACTTGGAGCGTCTTCTTTTTGGGGTCCTCTCGCGGGATCAAGAAGATGCACAGTGGATTCCACAGGACAGAGATGAATGCTACAAACAGCATGATGTAGGCCGTTCTCGGTAAAAGAACCTGCTGCCAGGCCGGAAGATTGTCCAACATCTTCTGAGGTAGAGCCTGGAGACCCCAATTCAGGCAAATACACACTGTAGCAATTGGCAGGGCATAGGCAACGCTCAGCATTGGGGCAGCTCCTCCGTTCAAGTTCCCTTGTTTATTCAGCCAAAAGGTTAAGGAGGCCGGGATGACAGCTAAAGAAGCAACCGACATAAAATATCGGTAGTTCCTGTAGCTTCCTGTGTCATCAGAGAATGCCCCCAAGGATCTGAGGAGTTCAGACTCCCGACAAGGGTTCTGTTCCTCCCGGCAAGCCAGGAATAGGCTGCTGAATCGGATGCAAAGGTGAAACGCGACGGCTAGCAAGATATAGACTGTTACCGGATGTGTGAGAAAATGCCCAATGTCTCGCGACTTCTCAGTCTTGGTTTTCTTCCTTGTGGTCTCTTTGCTGTTTTTACTCTGGACAAAGACTGAACCCACGGAGCACACGCAGGCCAAATGAAGACTGTGCACTAGAAAAGCTGCCACATAGCCCTCGTTGATGACAAAACTGTTGGACGTTAAGCAGGCTGCATATGCAAAGGTTAAGATCACCGCCATCACAGTTTTCAGAGGGTAAGTCCAGAATCTTAAGAAGTAGGAGACCTTCATCTCTGCAGACACAAATGCAATCCATACAACTGCATTCAGAAGGGAGCCCACCGCCGGTACAGTCAGTACCAAAACAGCTGAATACACATGCAGACTAGGAATGGTTAAACTCATCGTCACTCCAATCAATACACAAGCCACTATACTCACTGCAATTATTTTCAGCAGAGTGCCCAGGGCCGAGTCAAGCTGAGCCCTATTGCCAAAGTTATAGTTGTGCATCAGAAGCACATAACTGATCAGGCACGTTCCAATGACTACAGCTAAGCCTAGGATGATTAAGGTTAGGTCAAACCGTGCCCACATACTGCGACACATTTCCTTCACTTGGTTCAGATAATCCAAATACACCTGCTCACTCTTCTGCAACAATGCAAGGGTGCGGCTTTCATCGAAGGCAGAACTTTGCAACAGCTCTTGTACAGCAATTTCTGCTTCTTGAAAGAAATTCTGAAGCAGGTTGAACTGACCCCTTGGAAACTCATCCGAGACTTTTGAGTAAGCTTGAAGGTAACGATTGACCTGATGAGCATTTGTCCATAAAGCACCAACTTTATTATACAGTGACTGCAAATGCGGAGGCCAGTTGTTCATACCGGTTAGCTTGGGTTGGTTTGAGAGAGGAACCAGGCCAAAGAGTTCGGGTATGATGCTGCCAAGATTGGAGAATGGAATTGGAACACCAAGTAGGAGGCTCAAGGTAGGCACCAGGTCAATCTGGGAAGCAATTCGGACAGCTTTCTAGAGATCAAAACAGAAAGAGCTCAGTTGCAAAATCCATTTTAAAATGTGAAAATCTGCGGCTGCAACTCTGGTAGCTCAGGAAGATCCTAATTCCAAATTATCTTTGGTTAGGAAGTAATTAAATGCACTTGCACATATATGCATTTGTATTTAGGAGTAGCAGCTACAAGTAACAGCTTCATGCACATGTACATGTACATGTATACAACCATTTTCAATTCTTCAAATTGTACTTTAACACAACTGAAACAAAAACTTGGTTGTCTGCTGGTCATTTTGCAACCGATATGACAGCTAACACTGCAAATGTTGAAAACAAAGGTTTCATCAGTCATCTACCGTAAACTCAGTCACAGAAGACAACCTCTTTCAGCAGTGGCATTTAACAAAATGAAAATAATTCTACCTATGGATGGTGTGTGCTTTTGAAAGAAAATTTTACAAACATTCCTTGAGCTACTAATTGCTGAGCAGGCAGTTAGAAATGGAAATGTTTTTTCTTATGTTTCAGGAACATACATGTACCTGTAAGAACAATATGTACATGTACATCGTACACTCTCAATCATTATTGTCAAAACTACATCTAAATGAAATAAAAGTCATGGATACCTCCCGGGTTAAGGCTGAAACACTGAACAGATCAGAAATCTCCACCAATATCAGTTAAATCTAGCCTTACCTTGTCTGATCCCAAATTGCCACTTTCCACTGTCACTAAGTTTGTGTGTCTATATTTTGGCATACCTACATGTAGATTGAGCCTGCATTTTTACTTTTTTCATTGTGGAGGGGGTGTGCATATCGTTCGTAACCAGTAAACTTAGAGGAGATCATTTCCTTGTACGACGTATGTATTTTAACTGCAACAATAACTAGCGTTTCATATTACAGATCTTGAGAAGAGCTTACTAGATCGAGCACATATGAATTTGACCCGAACTACATACATAGAGTTACAAGTCATTCTTGGAGCTCAGTACACAAGGTATGATGCTACATTGACACAATGTGGACTCTGTCCATTGGAAGAGAGATGCTCCAAGTTGTGCTTGATGTTTGCATGATCACTTCAGCTACCCTCCTGTCCACTGCATCATTTGCTTTCACCTCAGAGACATCGACCATATAATACGAGGAATGGACGTTAACGAGAAACCTATAACTATAGAACCACTAGATTTCACAACAGCCCTATGCCTCATCTGTCGCGCATTCTCCAAATTGATGAATGCAAACAGATGTTAATCATTGTCCTGCTTATGACTGCACTCAGTCAAATTTGATTAATGTATACAATATTGAAGTGTTAAGAGTCACTAGGTTTTTAACCAAGAATATCTTGAAATTGTTGTTTAGTAATTATGTTTACACCTGTATTACAATAATGGTATTTTTTATTGTCAATTTTTAGGGTTATTACCTTCATACATACTATTATACTCATACTATTTTTAGGCGAAAGGAAAGGTCAAGTGTTATGATTCCATCTTCTTGATTATTTTACAGAATCCTTATTCTTATATTCACATTTTATCTGATGTAATTTTAATAGTCAATATTTTATTTTTTCTGCTTTTTCTTTTAATGAGCTTATTATTTTGTATTTATAACATACATGTATTTATCACTGAAAAAACGTCTTAATTCAGCCTTTGGTCACGATGATGTTTTATGTTAATAAACCATTTCAAATTCAAATTCAAATTCAAAACATTCACTTACCATATCAATAGTCTCCTGATGCAGGATAGCATTACTGTAGATAAAAAGTGCGGCAGCTATCTCATCCTTACTGTCCCCACCATGATCACCAGTACGTGTCATTCCATGATCTCCCAACACAAATAGTACTGTGTCATCGTCCAGCCTCTCCACCACTGATCTGAAATATTGAACAGGGCAGTAAAGGACAGCTGATGATGTTTTGTTAACTGTGATCTCAACTGACAAAAAACTTGCAACTTTTACATGTCAATTTCTTCAACCCTAACAGTCTTTTGACCCCGAATTTTCATATGCATCAATGGGTTTCAGATAAACACAGCACAACTCATCCCTTGTTGTGTTCATTGCTGTAAGGCTTGCTACTTATCTGAAATCCGTTATGTATATACATGTAGCTTCACCAAGCAATGCTGGAGCTGTTGTGAAAGGATGTTAACTGTAATATCTAGTGTAGGTTCCCCTCAATGACCCCACGGTGAGTGCTACAAGCTGAGTGATGTCCAACAGCTTTTGTGACATCTTGCTATTAACTCATAATTCCTACTTTTTGAATAGTGCAAAAATCTTAACCACTCAAACACCACGTATGTACATGGATCAGTGATATTTGTTTTACTACAAAGAATAAGACATGCTTGTGGACTGTGGAGACCACTTTGGCATGCAGAAAAAGATATGCAAGGACACATGTTATTCCTTGGTGAATTACTCAAAGTTCCTCTTTATTTCTGGCTGTGTATGATGATCCCCTGGTATTTTTTTTTTAATTAGAGACCAAACATAAAGAAACCTCAATTTATGGCACAATGTATGAAAAATTTTGGAAGGCATGTCAGAAAACAAACCTAAGAACTTGGTCCATTTGCAGAAGTTTTTCTCCCATGGCTGAGTGAAAAGGTCCAAAGCGATGACCACAGTGATCAACTCCTAAGAAATGGGCAATGATAACATCCCAGTCCTGTTCGGCCATCTCTGGCACAAGGTGGTTGATCACACCATTATCTACAGTGTGGAGATCCTTCACATTGAATGACGGAAAGGGGTAGGAGCGAACGAAGTATCCTTCAAAGAGCGATTCCCAAGTGTCATCCCCCATAAACGTAATACGCTTGCCCAGATGGCGCAACTGGTGGATGAAACTGTCTTCAGTGATTTTGGTGCTGGCAAAGTTGCTGCCTGCATCCACGAATGTCGGCAAACTCCCTGTTGTAAGACCTTTCAATCGCTGCATTGTTGTTGTGGGCGGGTCTGCCAAGAATTTGTAGAGCAGCGACTGTTGCGGTTTCTCTGTGCGCAGTTTGTGTATAAATGGAAGTTTATTTTGGAAAGGCAGGGCTGATTTATCATCCAGGGATTCGTTGTAAAGTGTGAAATCATAGCGAAGTGCATCAATGACAATAACAATCGCCTTGGAATACCTCCTGTGTTCTCCGCACAACTGTCGAGCGCCCTCTTGCGCCTGCCCTGCATCTTCATCGCCGACACACAAACTTTTCTCTGGAATTTCCAGTCTGTTTAACAAAAAGCCGCGACTGAATATTGTAATGCCAATACCAAACAAAGCCCCTATCCAAAGTAAAAGCATGAATAACTTTGTTCCGATGCTCATTTTGCCAACTGTAAAGGCTGGTGGTAAAACAAAACACAAAACTCACTGGTCATGCCTTGTCCATGGAAGTTGCCATTTTTTTTGGTCCTGAAAAATCAAGTTTATTATTGGAGGCTACTGAAACTATTTAAAAACTAAATTAGTGTTTCTAAATCTGCTAAATGATAATAGAGAGAGAAAATTTTTTATTGTGTTTTTCAGCGAAACTTATCAATATCAGCTTTGAAATTGCTTTCTTTATAATTTAGTATTAATGTTCGAGGCAGCTTAAAACGAAGATGGCCGCGCCCACCGATTCACAGCAAACCGAACAAACACGTCAGAAAGACATACTGTTTCTGAGGGCTAAACATATCAAATTTTTCTCCAGGTGCTTGCAGATTCTTCCCCAAAGTTATACATCACTTGACACAAGCAGGTAAGTTTCTACTCTCAAACAGGGCACGATTGGTCTCTTGCATTACCATCAGTACCACGCACATGGCATGGTCGGCTGGCGGACGTGACGTGCACAGTTTTGGGGGTAGTCAAGTACTCAGGCCTACACGATGGAAAATTTATTTTATTTTATTTATTTATTTATTTGATTTCTCGGGAAAAAGGCAAGTTACCAAACGAAAAAAACCAGAAAACGAAAAAAACCAGAAAATGGAAACGTCAAAATATATAATTAAACTATATATTAAAAAATCAGCAAGATTACAAAACAGTCATATGTAAATAAAGCTATCCCCAAATACATGTATGTTATAAAAATAGATAAAACAAACCAGAAAAAAAACTATGAAAGGAATCAAAATACAACAATAACCAAAAAACGAAAACTGAATCTGAACAAAACTCAGGTAACAAAAATATTATAATGAAAGAGAATACAAATACATGCAAAATTAATTTAAAAAAAAAATTCCCCTGAATAATTTCGGAAATATAAATAGAACAGACCAATAAGAGAAGTTCCAGATACTTTAGACACGTGGTAGGAACAACCAGTAAATCGGAAAACATAAGCAAAAGAGAAACCGTGCGAATTGTAGAAACAGCAATAATATAAAGTCTAAAAACCATACAAAATAATTTTAAAAGTGCCGCAACACGTCTGAGACAATTAAGAAAATCGTTTAAAATAAATTAAAAAGTAAATTAAAAAGAATGCAAATAAAATACACAAAGTACAAAATGCAGTAATTAAATAGACTAGCCGTCAGACAAAAAAGCACCCTTACAATGTGAGCTAAACATATATGTAAGAGTTCAACCCAGTTAATTACTGCAAGCAAGCTTAGTAAGTCTTGTTAATAAGCTTCTTCAGAAGGTCCATTTTTAAATAACATGTTGCGTAATACATTGATACACATGGCCAGGATGTTTCGAGGCACAGCTCGCGATCCTCCTTTGGACCTGTGTCCCAAAACGTTAAAAAGAAATAGACGCCATGGAAAATTAGTCAGCCATTAAGTTGATCCTGCAGAAAATCTTGAACTTTAGGCCTAGGCCAATGACAAATCCTACCTCCATGACGACACTAACAATGTTAGTAATGTGAGGCCCCCATTCTCAAGGTCGGGATGATGTCACTGATTCTTCTCTCAGATTGGTCAAATGATGGCTATTCCATCTTTCACACTTAAAACTCAAAGGGGCAAATGGGGAAAATCTGAATTATTGACTCAAACTCCCACCCTTTACCTCTAATGTGCCTGAAATTTCACTATTTATGCGCTATAAACATTTCCCACACTGTACTGAACAGGTTTTAGTTATTTCTATCATGTTGCTGCCAAAAAAAGGAAAACATGAAAATCCCTGTACAAAGTGAATGGAAAGTTGCCCCTTTGCCCAGGTGTGAGTGCAATAAGTGGAACAACCTGAAATAACGCACAAAATTAGGACAAGGATTTTACAAAAATATGAATTTTGAACTTTAAGTTAAAATCCATGCACATTTGTTATGTACAAAATCACAATTTGCTCTGCATTACACATGTACAAAAACATCTCAAATTATTCTCACTTTAAATCAATTTTTCTTTGCTTTGCAGAATCCGATGAAATGCATATTTACATGTATATCAAAATGTTCTTGTGACATCCTCTCCAAGATCACTTCAAAAATAAAACACCAAAAAAAAATTAAAAAGTTAAGTAGCCTCCCTAGTTTGGATTTTTGTTTTACACAATGCTTGCCATCTTGGATAATATGGTTGGCCATACTTTTTGTATCAACACAATCAACCCGCAGTAGTCAGTCATGCACACCAGCAGTGACATCATAAATGCTCCATTCACAATCAATTTGATTAGTAGAGAATCAATAAAATGATACCAGTAAACATGGTAAATGTGCAGTTCGTCAAAACCAGTTTCAGAAGTTTTAGTATTGAAATCAATTTAACATTTTTACAAGTATGGGATTCGAGTATCACATACAACATACCCAGTTTCAGGATGAGTCCAAGTAAAAAAAGTGTGAGTATAAGGTAGAGTCCTTTGTTTTAGTTCTGAAAATAGAGTACGGGCCAAGTTTAGTACTCGGAACTCGATTTGTGCTCGAGTATGAGTACTCCAACACAGATTGGTACCAGTTTACTCTACAGAATCAAGCGGACTATGCTACCTGAGCCCGTCAAATTCTTCAGTGAATGTTCAATCTGTAAAAAGGATTTCTCCATTTCTTATCCCTTTGTTTGAATGTCCACATTCAGGTTGACTGTGTGCTTCTTTGCCCTATCTGGGCTTGATGTGCTTGATGCTCTTGACACAATCGAAAAGGACAGACAGGACATCATTGATTGGATCTATTCATTACAGGTTCTTCCAGATCCCAACAACTATGGTAATCATTTTTATAAGTTATGTATCCCATCCCACCCACCCCCCTTCACAGCTGGCAAGAATTAAACACGTAGCTTCTTTTTTCTCTCTAACAAAGGAATAAAAACACATTGAGGCATAAATCCTATTCTGAAATGCATGTAAAAGGCTGTGCTACCTAGTGGCACTTGTATTGGCGATTGTCTACCACCCTGCTCATACAGTGAGCTTTTTTATCATTTATGCATGATTTGTTACAGAGGAAACATCTAAACAGTGTGGTTTTAGGGGATCATCCACTATTGGAACAGCTTACAATCCATCCAGGGTAAGATCTTAATTCAAAGACCACAAAGTAGTGTCCACCTTTATTCTTCCCTGACAATTATTTTTTGTTGACAGTGACTGTTGCGGGGTAGTTCCAAAGAGTTTCAAGATTTTAATTATGGATTTCCAAAGCCTCACCCGGTAGATTTTAGTTCATGTCCACTTTTTGTTAAGAGAACTAATTAGTTTCTAGTTTGTCCTTATACTACATGTAAGTCTTGCTTCAGGGGACCATTTGCACCCGTTTAGTCATGTGACCTATGGCGGGTATTAAATATCAACAAAATATCACCGAAAGTAAAGTGTTTCATAAATATCATTTACTAAAAATAAAGCCAACGGTAGGTACCATACTCAGACTACCTATGTACCATACTGTAACTTGGCTGGTTTGTTTGTAAACAACACTCAAAACACACAGCTGTGGGGTTGATATCCACTATAGGTCACGTGATTGAGCGGGTGCAATCGGTCTATTCAATTCAATTCAAAACTTTATTTCTCCATAAACAAAATTACGCAGCTCACTTGCTTGCAAGAATTACACTCATACAACACATTAAAAACCTCCAAAGCATTACTGTTACACGTTGAAAACAAGTTGTCATCAGTTTATGTTTTGTATTATACATGGATATATGTATTGTCACTAAAAAAATATACCTGCCAATATTGTCTAGATACCATACCTTAGATGTGAGGATAGTCACTTTCATAGTGACTAAATCCCCATTCCGGGGGGGGGCACCATGTCAGTCACACCCCTCCCTTTCCACTACCCCCCCCTACCACCGGGGAAAAAGTGAACATATAATCCTGCCCAAACCCACGATTGCCAGTACATAAGGCATTGAATCGCATTGAAAACTCAGATCACCCTAGGGATTGGAAAGTGTGACCAAAGATGACAAGGGGTGGGAAAGCATTATTGGGAATGGGGGTAGGGGTTAGACCGGTACATACTGTGGGGTGTTGACACAGTTATATGCTCTGTCTTCTGTCACTGTTTCATCCACTGGTTGTTCACAGGACACCCCCTCACACAGCCACCCATATGACTGGGGCCACATTGCCATGACCTACACCGGGCTGGCTTGCCTACTTATCCTTGGTGATGACCTCAGTCGGGTCAATAAGCCTGCCATAGTGGCTGGACTGAAAGCCTTACAGTTACAAGACGGAAGGTAGATCACGAGGCTTAGGAAGAGTTGGTTTGGATATATTTGAACATTCAACCTTCCATTTAGTGGAATATTCAAACATTTGGTTAAACCAAATTCCCACCAAAACAGAAACAAAATATGCATGTTTTCGTGGTGGTCTGTCTGGTTGAGTTTCAGAATAAGGATACATCCTGTAGCTCAGCTAGAAGCTGGAAGTCCAAGTGATGTTTGGTCTTAGTGATTTATTCCTGAAATCCCAGCAAGAATGTGAGATCACACACCAGGCTTGATCACACTCGGATGAAAATGTGCACTCCTAAATCTATGCCATACATGCAAAATGAGTGCATTTGTTGTAATGTTTCACAAATCTAGTTACTTTTAACCCTTTAAAGTGGAATAGACGACATCTTTTACAATAGTCTGTGCATCCTCTGTCGAGTAAAGCACAATTTTAACAACTCTTTTTTTCTCCAAATTGTCATCTGCATGAGTCAGTTTTGCAGCAACTCTTAACGGAAGTGAGAATGACATGCGGTTTGTGTACTGTGCCTGCTGCATCAGTGCGATGCTGCAAGACTGGAGCGGCATTGATGTGGAGAAAGCTGTGGATTTCATCTACAAAAGTTTGGTAAGTGAATGGGTTTAAAAGGGACTTTGTGTAAAGTGTATGGAACTGAAAAGGGTCAATATTGCTTTTGTATGTAAATTTTTTGTTTGTTTGTTTCAGAGCTATGACTATGGACTTGGCCAAGGACCCGACCAGGAAGGGCATGGTAAGAATTTTTTGCGTTGTCAGTCACAATTTTAGCAATGAACTAGAGAAAGTTTTTTAACCCAGTGTCATTCAAAGTTATCCCATCAACTCCTCATTTGGAGAAAAGTTCGTGCACATCTTGCATATATTTTGGTTTTCAAACCCTTAACCATAGCATGGGTTATGCATACGATCATTTCATTTTAATGAAGATTAAATTTAAATAAAAAAGCAATGCGGACCCAGTTTGGTTTGATGTTTGAATAGAAACCACACTTTCCTGATTATCGTCTACCCAGGGGGCACGACTTTCTGTGCTATTGCCTCCCTTGTCTTGATGGGCAGACTGGAATCCACCTTCAGTAAGAGACAGCGAGAGAAAATCAAAGCTTGGTGCATCAAGAGACAACATTCGGGATTCCAAGGAAGACCCAATAAACCGGTGGACACTTGTTACTCGTTTTGGGTCGGGGCTACCCTTAAGGTACGTGACCCAGTGTTTTCCATATGTTTGTATGTTCACACCGGCATGATTCTGCCAGAGCAAAGCATGTTTAACTTTTCATGTCATTTCCGGATGATATTTGCCACAATATTCTACATGTTTCAGCAAAGTAGAGCTCATTCTGGAAGTCAAAAGGAAGGTTGTTTTACATGAAAGAAATAAGATAATTAATAGTGGGGTTGATGCCCTAGCCAAAGTCACGGGTATAAAATGAAACCGCTAGTTGATTTTGCCAGCTAATTGCTCTGGAGGTCACAGAGTCACAATTCACATTCCGCACCCCATGCAGTATCTTTTCTTATTGCAATATTGCAATATTTATAAACCTGCTGGTTGTGTGCATCAGGTCCTATGTGTATTGCAAGAAATTGTTCCTTGATTTCAATTTTTTTTCATTTTGCTTGCATTTTGCATTCAGTTGATGAACGGCTATGACTTTGTGGACTTTGCTTGCAACAGAGCCTACATTCTGTCCACCCAAGATGAGATGGTGGGTGGCTTCGCCAAATGGGCAGACTACCACCCAGGTACAAACACAATTTGAAATCTGAAATCCCCATTGGGCGTTGGAATGCCAGTGGGTGTAACTATCTCCCTGACCTCAACCCCACCCTCCATCACGGCCAGTCCCCTAATTGGGCAGTCGCCACCCAAGAAGGAACATATCCTGAATGAGGTACCAATATCCAATGGCTGATGTCTCCCATAACTGTACCCCCTAAACGGGCAAATTTCACCCAAGTAGGTACTTGTCCCAGGTTACCCTTTTTGGCTGACCAACCTTGGAAAAATAGGTGTTCCCTAAGACAGATATGCCTAATTTTCTTACCATTGGTGCTACATAAGAATACAACACTGCTAGAAAAACTCATGACCACTCAGCACAGGAAAAAATGTTTTCCGACGACATTGGAGGAAAGTTGAGGGGGCAGATTTTGCCCCAACCTGCCTCTTTGAGGGTTAAAGAGTCTGAAAAAGACAACAGGGGTCCCATTTTTGTTTTGACGGTTCCAGACGCTCTGCATGCATACTTTGGAATCTGTGGCCTTTCACTGATGGGAGAACCCAGCCTGTTACCCATCAACCCTTCCCTCAACATCAGCCAGAGAGCTGCTGACCACCTACAGAGAGTACATGACAACTGGAAGGCTGAGGTTGCGACATGATCAAAGGACATGTCCAGAGGTAATCATGATCAGAGGTCACACCAGGAGGACATTGTGATCAGAGGTCACACCAGGGGGTCATGAACAGAACTTTTGACAATCAACAGCCATGATTGTTGTCAGATGCTATGATCGCAGTGAGTTATCACAAGCAAGTCATCACTTTGCATTTTTTTTATTTTAGGTGAGAAAATTTTACGTTTTCAGTGGCATACTCAGGTCTGTTACGAGGCCTTCTACAGTTCAGTCATGAATGGCAGGCTGAACAATGAACAAAATACTTTTGTCACAGTTTGAGTAGCTTCAGGCTTGGCTTAATTTGGACAACTTCAGATGGCCTTGCAAGGACTTGGATGGACTCTACCACAAAAATTGCGTACACCTTTTAGAATCTCAGAACTTGAGTTTATTTCAAACCTGTGTAAGGGCAGTAGACTGAAATCCAGGGCAGGTGTTTCAAGCCTCAACCACAAGAATGCACATCATTTGTCTCTTACACAGCACTCAACACACAAGCGATTGGCTCAAGGAAAGATCATTACATAATGTATGCAATCCACTCTCACAAATAACAATGCAACCACAGAACTGTCACTTTTAAGATAGCATACGTCGTCAGCTCTGTGTTTATTAGCAAATATTCCATTATGATAGAGTTTTCTTTATTAACACAGTTGACACATAATATCTTTACATACAATGTAAGGGTACACTGTATAATGTAAATGGAATTATGTAAACACACTCTTCAAATTACCTACTGATGACGAATATTTTCCCATGTCAAGTTTGAGATAAGTTTGAGATAACTCGGGATTAAATCCCCACCCCAAAAAAACAACAGACTTTGAAAAAGAGGTCTTTGAAACATTTGTAGCTCCAGTAAAAAAAAGGAAAACTTTAATTGTCCATATTGAAATGGTTTTATTAGCATAACATCACCACCATTCTTGTGGAAGAATAACATTACGAACACATTCACTGCATTTGGTTTGCGTTAGTGGTCTAAAGTTCTAGTCGTAAGAATCTTCAACGAGATGGTTAGGAAGCAAGCCAAGACATTACTACAGACCAGCGGTTTGGATGGTCAGTTTCACACTTGCTCCAAAGTAGGTTCAAATATGAATGCAATTAGAATAAAGCCAACTTAAAAGGCACAGTTCACATTGTATCATTGTAACATTTCCGCACTGTGAAGCGTCATCGTATTAAACTCCAAGAAAACAAGAAATCTTCCTTTGGCATTTATGGAGAAGAAACATCTGCTGTCGGCGGCCATGTTTCCATCCAACAACCTATGTTCATGTGTGGCAGAAATGAGCAGTAGGTATACTTATTCTTTAATATTAGTAAAAGCTTGTCATATGTCAAGCACAGTTCTAGTCTTGATTCAAGATAACATTATTATTACATTCCACTAACAATACAGAACATAAATGTGTGCCCCACAGGTGGCTTGAATCAAGACTATAAGACTCCTTAAAAGACATACGAAGGTGTTGTTTACACAGTTTTGTAAATAAATTGTTCATTAGACCCCAGGGCTCTGGAGTCTGTTTTCATGTCTACAAAGCCATGTGTAGCTTTTATTAAAGATTAGTAATGTTTGTTTGAATTGAAATGTTGCCATGTTGTAATTTTAACAGCTGTTTGGGAAATGAATTTTTCTGATACTTTCTGCTTGAATAGATTGGTAGGTCCTGTTATGAACCAATGTTCAAATTTCTGAAGTATTTTAATTTGAACAATGCCCATCAGTTTTTTCGCACACCTTTCAATAAAGAAAAGCACACGTTATGGCAAACAAATGCTATAATGCAGCAAGGGAAAAAAGCTAAACTTTACAGTGCAAGCCTGAAGTTGACATAAGACTCTGAAAAATTGAATTTTAAAGCTGGCCCAGAAAAAGAATAGTGATACATGTAATGCTTTAAGTAAACTGGTTTACAAAAGATTGCTGAAAAAAAATAACAGATTTATCTCTAATCTTCAGTGCAAGACAAGCTGATGCTAAATTAAAGGCGCCAGACCATGGCTACATAATTGTTATAACTCGCTACATCTAATGGGTAACTTATACTCATATATATCTCAGCTACACACTCGTCTTTTTTGTCATCAAAATAATCATTTACACATCCTTTCATGGTATCATTTTTACCCAAGGTGTGAGGCTTTTTTTAAATCCAATAAATCCTCATGAATGGAATTTAAAAGAAATTTATGACTGACCCAGAGATAGTCATACGCCTACAATGCAGGAATTTTTAATGATACTATTTTGCAAATGAACTGATAAAGTTTTTTATTCATTCTAATTCAGCAAATGTACAGGAAGCAAGCACAGTGATTTTTTTTCCCAAGCAGGTCTTCAAATAAATGTCCATCCTTAAGATCAGCAACTGTATGGAACCTTCCAACGTTCTTGTGCTAACAACCTACGCTGCACCTATTGATCCTCTGTCCTCTACCCTACGCACTAAAACACCCGGCAATCTTTTCATTTCAACTGCATTTGAAATGATATATTTTTAGGTAATTGCCGCAACATGTATACTAACCGTGACTTGTAACCAAAAATTCTTTTCTTTCTTGGTTAGGTTACATACCAAGTCTTGACTAGATAACATACAAACATGGAGATAAACAGCCAAAGTGAATTTGCAAATTTGGAGTGAACAAAAATATAAAAACATTAAATTTGTGAAGATTTATCTCTGAGAGAGCAGATGTAAAAACATAATAAATCCATATGCGAAATGGAAAATTGGTGTTAAGAAAGACTGACATGCGACCAAATGGGGAATGATAACGGTAAAAAAAAACTAATACCAAACACATGTGTATTCAATGGTTACACAAGACAACTCACAAGGACACTGAGACAATAGAGAATATAACCCTAACTCCCAAGACTTTTTAAAACCAAGGTCTTTTCTTGAATCTGTCAAAATCCCAGATCATGCATGTTGCACTAGTTCTGAAGATTGATCAATATAAGTGTGGGCTCGGTTTGCCTGTGCCAACACATCTTGACAATCTAACACCCAACAGTGTTTAATCTCTCAGAATTCAGTAGTGCTGGGAATTGGAATTTGGCTAGATTCAGGGAATCTGGGATTTAAAAAAAAGAAAAGTTGCAGAAGACACGTTAGCAGTTTTCTGTGCGTGTACATCATTGCAGAATTTCTACTACTTGAACTGACTGTTAGTTCTCATTTTTGATCTTGGGAAAGATAAACTTGACTTGGGCATTTTCTCCTGAAGCATGTCTTACACCTGCATGATGTGTCTGGAATGTTACTGCCTTGATAAGTGGTCTCTGGACGCGGCTAGGCTGCAGGTGAAGAGATGGTGACTGCAACGATGACACCAGGCAGATTGGTGCAGTGGCTCAATTTTATGGGGGGGGTTTAGGCTATGGCCTTGGCCTCCGGAAGAAATCCCTCCCAACACTGAATGACCTGAGAAATGAGGATAACAGAATAGTATTTGAAGCAAGTAGTTGACTTTGTGGACTGCGTAACAATGCACAGTAGGCTAATCCGACACCAAAATTAGAAACCATTACGACAACACAATGCCTCCATGCAGCAGTGTTGTAGTCAATTACTTTCCGAGTACCAACGTTCTCCG